CCACCAACAGACCGAGAGAAGGGTGGACTAACTCCTACTGACTGCAAACTGAAGTAAGTTTTGAAGTAGAGACATCTGAGTCCTCCAGCTCTGCTCCTTTTTCAACATCACTGTGGCCAACGTGGATCTCCTGAGCTAAATATAAAGTTTACCGCCAACTAGCCCCAAAGAAGCTGCCTCAATTCTGATGCAGATGACATTGACTCTGGATCCCATTTTTGGAGTAATGTCTTCTACCTCGTGGAATTAAGCAGCTCTCCTGCGTCTGGACCCCCAATTCACCTGCTAGTTAAAAATTTAACTCTATCTGTATCACCCTATTTAAAAATTTAGAATTCCTGGAGCGACATCTCATATCCTACGCCACTGATAGACCACACTGATGTAAAGCAGCGGGCAACCAATCTTGATTCAAAAAATATTAGCACACAAGGCTCACCTCTAACAACGTGTCAGTAAACTCCTAGGCAAGGGCGTCACAGCTCCAGAGTGAGATACAACAATCTTCACACACTTTTTTTCTAAGATAATGTTTGGGATCATTTTTATCGAATTATTCATAACAACCAACACAAAATCGATTATTTAGGGCCTGCTATTGGGGTAGGCTTAGGGGGGTGGTTGGGAAAATTCAAAATAATGGCTGGAGGGAGGTTTAAGGTTGGTGGGATTGGTGTTTGAATATTGAGTGGAATAAATGATTGTGAACAATTTTATAAAAATAAAATTGAAAAGGTTAAAAAAAAGCATCTCTCTTGGGGTTGGAGAGATAGCACAGCGGTAGGACGTTTGCCTTGCACGTGGCCGACCCGGGTTTGATTCCCAGCATCCCATATGGTCCCCTGAGCACCGCCAGGAGTAACTCCTGAGTGCAGAGCCAGGAGTAACCCCTTGCATCGCCAGGTGTGACCCAAAAAAATAAAAAATAAAAAAATAAAAAATAAATTAAAAAGTATCTCTCTAGTGTTCTTCCAACTCGCGGGATTAAGCATTTCTCCATCCCATTACCTCTTTGACAGCGCCCATCATATCATTATCCCCACAGTTCCTCTGCCATTAAGTTTCTTCCTACATCTTTTCTTCGTCGTTTAATGCTTGTCTCTCCTCACTGGAACTGAGGTAGTGGGACTTCCAGTACTGTTAATGAGAGTTTCACGACTGCATCGTTCCAATACCGTGCCCACTGCCAGGGTGCCTGCTTCCTACCCTCCACCAATGCCCCCAAAGACCCCTGCACCGCCCAAAGCCCCTCCCCCACAGGGAAACTCAGTTGCGTGGACGAGTCTCTAGTCGTGATGCCTTTGTCCAGATGTTGTTCTCTTGCCCCACAGATGAGACAGATCATCTGTATGTGTCCCTCTCTCTCTGCCTGCCTTCCCTCGGCATGATCTCCTCCGGTTCCATCCACGTAGCCATGAACTGCAAGATTCCTCTTTGTTCACAGCTTAGTACTATTCCACTGCATCACAGACCACTGTTTCTGGATCTCGTCATCTGTCCTTCCACACTTGGGGTGCTGCCAGATCGTGGGCACTGTGAGCAGTGCTGCAAGGGGGCTGGGGGCACAGATGTCTGTGTCATTGCAATGACCAGGGCTGAGGCATGCGCTTGGCTGCAGTACTCACCCGCGCTTATACTCTTTTAGTTGGGGTAGTTGCACACATGCTGGCCAAGGGTCACACTTCCTACTGCAGTGCTCCTGTCTTTCTGGGTTGTGGGGCTCACACACCCCACCCGATTGCAGCAACGATGACTTCGGATTGCTGTGGATCAGACAATGCTCGGGGCTTGTGGGAGCACCTGGGAATGGAATTTGCAGTCTCACACTTGCCAGAGACTCTCTAAGCCCCAACCCTCTAAGTAGTCGATATTTTTGGTGCTCTTGGAAAATGGAATTCCGTTTCCTTTCAAAAATTTGCGAAGATATACACAAATATAGCAGTTTTTGTATGGGGAGGCCCTCCTTACATCATTCCACTGTTACTGAACGCATTTATCCTAAGTTTTATTTGGAAATTCTTTGGGATTATCTATAAAAAGATCGTAGCGTCTGCAGTAGCTGCCAGTCTGGATGCTTTTTCTGACTTAATTGCCTTGGCTAGAACTTTTAGTACAAGAATGAATAGATACGCCACACACAGGGATCTTTGTTTTGTTCTTGAACTTAAGGAGAAAGCTCTGAGTTGATTATCTGTTGCTTCCTAAGTACCTCTCCAATTGAGTCCCAATTTTCTGAGTGATTTCGTCATGAAAGGGTGTTTTAATTTTAACAAACACTTTGCATGTACCTATTGAAAGCTGGGCTTTTTTGGTCCCCTTGGATTTTATCAACAGACTAGTAAAGAAAAATGCTTTAAAAATAGATCAAAAGTGCTCCAGTGAAAATGCTCCGCGAAATGGGTGCGGGGGTCTATTCTGGTGGCAGCAGGGAGGGAGAAAGGTCGCCAAGCCGGGCGGCTGGCCCTTCCCTTCCCAAGCAGCCTTTGGATCCACAGGAAACTAAGCCAGGGGCCAAGAACAGCCAGCGCCCCCCCCCCCCCCCAACCCAGTGCCGTCCAAAACTCCTGTTGCGCCTGGCTATCTGCCAACTAAACCCTGACCCTGGGCTGCAGGGAGCTCTGGTTGGCAGCGCTGGCCGATTGCAAGCACCAGTCACTTTATCCAAAGTAGCTCGTTAGCGACGTGCAAACTGCCTTCTGCCATAGGGCTTCAGAGTCACCCCGGTCCCCTTTGTCTGAAAGCTCCAGGTCTTTGGGGGTTTCTTTTTTGTACCGCGGGATGGTTCACAACGTACCAATACTCAGGCCTCGGTGTCACCGTGCCCCTAGGAGTCCCTCGATCCCCCTCTCTCAGCCCCTCGGCCCACCCCGGCTCCGTTAGCACGCCGAGCTCCAGATGAATGCCAGAGCTTAGCGCTGCCTCTCTGGATGGTATCTCTGCATTAGTTCTGATCCGTGGCTAGAGCAAAGCTTGTACTTCTGAAACCTTGATTATAATCAACCCGAAATACAGAGATTCCGTATCTCCCACAGATTGCAGACAGCCCACTGATTACTTTTGGGGAAGACTGATTAAGAAACTTTATTACAGAAAATGAATGCATCCAGCGTCCCCAAATACATTTGTGACAAGAACCGACACGCGGGAGACACAGACAATAATTGCTACATCCCAGCCTTGTTCTGTTCAAAGGCTAAAACATCACTTAATAATGGACGGGGTTGGAAGAGGCGGTTAGAAAAAGCAGGTACTGGACTTCGCGTGGCAAAAACGGTTCCGCGTACCAGCACACACCGTGGGCCTAGAGACGAAATCAAGCCCAGACCTTCCACGGTTGACAACCTGTAGCACACCTTGGGCAGCTAATGGGCTAAATGGCCGTCACTTGAGTGTCTGGAGAACAAAATGCTTAATCCTAAATCACTCAACAGACTCGCCACTTGCCACTTGTTCTGCCCTGGTGGAAGCAGAAAACCGCCCATCTCGTCCTTGCCCTTTCATGCGTGGATGGCCTAATTGTACCCGACCAACAGGCATTACTTAGCAAGAAATCGCTCCTTTGTGCTCCCAGCTGAGCCTCTCTTCTGTTTCTGCAGGCCAGAGGCCTGGCTGGAAGCAAACAAGGCCTGGCTTCGAGAGACAAGTGGTCCTGGCTAGATTTCAGGGCTGGGAGTTTTTGTTTGTTGTAATGAGCAGTCATTTTCTAGAAACCAGAAAAAACATCTAGGAGCCAGAGCGCTAGAACAGTGGGCAGGGTGCCTGGCCTTGCACGCTGACCCGGGGTTCCATCACTGGCTCCACATAGGGTGCCCCCCCAAGCCTTGCCAGGAGTGATTTCTGAGCAGAGCCGGGAGTCAGCCCTGAGCAAGGTATGTGTGTGGCCCCCCAAAAAACAAAAACCGTTCTGACTGGCTGCGCAGCTCAGAGGCTAGTCCAGGGCCCAGGTACTTGCCTTACAACGCATCTAAGCAGGGCTGGATCCCAGTATTCCACACGGTCCCCGGGCCCAGAAAGGAGTGATTCCCGAGCGCAGCTAAGACTAAGCCCTGAACAAAGTTAGATGTGCCCCCCAAAAAACCCAAAAAGGTCAGAAGGCTGAGGACAGTACAGCAAGGAAGGCGCTGGCCTTACACATAGCTAACTCAGGTTTGATCCCCAGCATCCCATGTAGTTGCCCAAACACAGCCAGGAGTAATGCCCGAGTGCAAAGCCCTGAGCACTGCCAAAAGGGGCCCCCAAAGGCAAAAAAGACCCAAATGAAGATGGGGCCAGTTATCCAGGTCCTGCCAAGGGGGCAGATACACCTCCCGTCGGGGTTCCAGAGGGAATCTTCTCAACTGTGGTGCTCAGCAACACCTCCTCCCAACCCCACACGCGGCCACTGGCAGGTCAGACATGTGTCCACCAATGGTAGTGGCATGACTCAATACTGTGCTCACCACCACCCCCGGCAACGATACGCCGCACCCTTCACCAACACGGACCACTGAAAGATGTCCGCCCACTCAGTGGGCTTTCAGAACATCCCACTCCCCAGCAACGTAAAATACTAGCAAAGGGCCTGCTAGCCTGCCTGGTGGGAGGGTGGAGCCAGCACGGGGACCCCGAGAGTTGGGGGTCCTTCAGGGAGCCGCAGCCAAACACTGGGGTTGGGGCATAGATGCGATCCGCTCCACACTCGGGGTGAGTCACAAGGCACCGTGCAGGGTGACTCGTTTATGGGAATGTCCAGCTCACTCGCCAGGATCCTGATCCCCCACCCCCGTATCAGAGGCCTGCCCCTTCTGACCTGCGACAAGTCAACTCTCCCAGCCCGAGCTTCACCTGCTTTTAGCCCCACACCGCCCAGACCCCACTCCGTGGCTCTCGGTGGCCCTGTTCCCTCCCAGGCGAGCTGGCCACACTGACCAGGCACAGGGTTTCCTGGGAATCTGGGGGCAGCGGCCACGCCTCCCGAGAGCGCTGAGGATCAGAAACAGACTCGGTTTCCAGAGAACGGCTTGAAAAACTTAATACTGTTTATTTAACTTCAAAAACATCTCAGCATTCTAAACATACACAAAAAATAACAGAAGGTTGTAAATCGTTTAGTACAGGTTTCGAACTTTCATTGGTACACTGGCTCTTGGCTGTGCTGTCCATGAGAGCTCTACAGTCGAACCAAGTTGTACTACCCCACAGAACCCAAGAAACTCCACACACTTTCTCATGCCGGCTGACCCCTTGCCCTTTCCACAGCTAAGAATGGCAGCAGAACCCTCTAGCACTATATACACCAGCAGACGGGCTGCAGCCCCACTGCCGTCCACCTGGCCACCTGCCCGGCGCACAGCCCCGCGCCGCTGCTCCACGCCGAGCCGCCAGCAGCAAGTTTGTCTCCTGTCGTCTCGCTTTCCTTCTTTCTTTTTACAAACTAGAGATATATACAAGTAAGAACTCAGGAATTTCTAGCCCATAACCACAGTTAAACACCACCTTAACGAGTGAAAACAGAAAATGCCGAAGGACAGTTTGAAATGCCTTGTCACACCAATAGCAAAGTGCACAGAGTGAGAACACGAGCGAGCCTTTCCTTCTTCAAAATGCTGGGAGGGTATGTACAGCTTTGATACAGTTTCAGGGTATACCCCGGACGCCCATGGCCGCGGCGTGGAAACCACTGACAAATCCTAGAGCACTTGGAGACTAGATGGGATCATGAGTGAGATTAAACCTAATGAGGGCAACGGACGGGCTCAGCGCAGGGGTGTTGATGCGGTGCTCCCTACTCTAAGGGGCTCTCGAAGAGCCGGAGCAACCGTTTATTCGTCCTCCTCTTCCTCCTCCTCCTCCTCTTCCTCCTCCTCCTCCTCCTCCTCCTCTTCTTCCACCTTTTTCCTGGCAACTTTGGCAGGCCCCTTCGCGCCATCAAACTTCCCTTTCGACTTATAGTCGGCGACGTCCTAAAAAGCAAAGGAGGGCGCACAGCGCATGAGCAGGGGACCTCGCGGGTGGGGACAGGAGTGACAGCGCCGTGATGAGCCCTGGAGGCAACCAGAGTGGCCCCTGAGCACCCCCTCACCCCAGCCGTCCGTGTCCCCCAAAGAGACCAGTGGAGGGGGCTCCCGCGGTAGAAGGGCGCCCTCCCCCCACCCCGAGGGACCAGGGCAGCTGCCCCCAGCTCACCTTCTCGTACTTCTCCTTCAGCTTCGCCGCCTTGGTGTTGTAGGGCTGCTTTTCGCTGTCGCTCAGATTGTTCCACATCTCGCCCAGCTTTTTCGCCACGTCCCCAATGGAGATGCCCGGGTTTGTGGATTTGATCTTGGGGCGAAATTCGGCACAGAACAGGAAGAATCCCGACCTTGGGAGAGAAAAGGGGACAGGCGACAGTGTGAGGAGGACCGACCTGCGCACACACCCTTCGGAGCCCAGCACCCGGCCGGCCAACTCTGGCCTCACGAGCACCCGTGTTAACGCACGCACATCCTCCATCCTGGCCTCCTCCCGTTACAGCCCAGCGCCCAGCAGGACACAGAACACAGTGTACCCGGGGGCGGGGGGCACCGCACTTGAGGCTCAGAAACACCTGCTTTCCCAGCAGCTCTGCCAAGGACCCACGCTCCTGCAAAAGCAGCAGCCACCTGCCCACCTGTGGGGGGGGTCACCCACCCCCACCCCAAGCTCAAAAGCATCTCAGCAGCCACCAGAGCCCAGCAGGGGCTGGGACACGCCCTCGAGCACCCTCGGGTGAGCCCCAAACCAGCCTTCGCGCCAAGGAATCTTTTCCAACAGTTCCGAGCAGAAGGCCCGTTTCCGCCCGCTCCACCGGAACTTACGGTGGTCTTTTGGGGGCATTCGGATCCTTCTTCTTCTTGCCGCCCTTCGCCGGCCCGTAATCCTTCATTTCCCGGTCATAGCGCACTTTGTCGGCCTTTGCCATCTCGTCGAATTTCGACTTCTCCTTCCCAGACATGGTCTGCAAAGGACAGGACCCGCTGGTTCGGCACGGTGCCCAGCGAGCCCCTATCCGGCCGGCCTTCGGGGAACTCTTGCGGCCCCTTGGCCCAAGCGGCCCAAGCCTTTCCAGTTGTGCAGCCAGGAAGCACGAGCCGAACAGCCACCTGCAGCACCCCCTGAAGCATCCCCCTGGCCAGGCCGCCGGCAGGATCCCGGGAATACCTACCTTCCACCTCTCGGAGCACTTCTTGGAGAATTCGGCAAAATTGACCGGCACTTCGGGGTTTTTCTTCTTATGCTCTTCTCTGCACGTCTGCACAAAGAAGGCATAAGCAGACATCTTCCCCTTGGGCTTCTTCGGATCCCCTTTAGCCATCTTAACTGTGGAGGAAGCAGAGAAAAAATGCTACAGGTCAAAACCCTGGATAGCAACAGGCCAGGCATGGGGCAAGAGGGATGTCCGTCCCGCCCAAGCCCCCTTCTCCCGGAGGTCTGATGGCAGCGGCTGTGAAAACAAGGAGTGCGGAGCAAATCCGCGGCACTGTCGCGTGTCATTTAACTTTTGACCAGCATGAAGCGCCAGTTGCTGCTCTAGGAGATCAAGTTCTCCAAATGGAAGCGACCCAAGCCGGCTGGCTGCGTGCCCCGTTTCGCCCTAGAATGAAGATCAGGGGGCACAAGTGGGTGCCCCGGGGAGGGAAGGGCTTGAAGACACCTTCGGAGGAGGGGGAGGGAGGGATGACTTTCGGGCTCGCCGTCATCTGTGCGAGCGCGTTGGGAACAAAAATATTGCCTGGCCGCTGCAAGAGCCAAGCAAGCGGCAGAGGCGGAAAATCGGGCACCTGGGAAATCGCGCTATTGTCGACGCGTCTGGGGGTTGGGGAAAACGTGTTTCACGTTGCACGGAGGTGGCCTGCCCAGTGGGCCGCTGGCCCGGCTACTGCCGGTTCCGAGGTGTCGCCATCTGAATAGCGGGGGAAGGGGGTGGACACCCAAAGGTGTCGAGAGCCTGCCGCCGGCGGCCGGCGGCATCCGCCTGTCCAGCCGGGCGGACTTTTCTGCAAAGTTTCCAAATGCAAAACCCGCCGCTGCGGCATGTCATCGTCCCTGTCCCACCCCCCCAGCTTCCCGCCATCTTTTCCTTTTCTCACACCCAAGGTCATCCTGCAAGAAGGGAGCGTTTCCCCCGCGGGCGGGCGGCTGCGGGGGGCGTGCGGCTCCGGCCGCCGGCGGCGGCGCGGGTGGGGCGGCAACCGGGCGCCCCGAGCCCGCCGCGGGCAGCGGCCCCGGGCTCGGCCCGGCGCGGGGGGTTCGCGGGGGACCCCCCGGACTTCGCCTTCCATCTTGCCGCCCACCCCCCCCCCGCCTCCCGATCAAACAAAGTGGCCCCGCCAACGGCCGCCGCCTCCCCCGCTGGGGGGCGGCGGCGGCGGCCGCGGTGCCCGCCGAGCCGGGGCGGCCGCGCCGGTCCCCGCCGGCAGCCGCGGGAGCCTCGGAGCCCCGCTCGCTAAAATGGCTGATCGCGCGCGGCCGGCGGGCGGCGGCGAACAAAGCGGCCCGGGCCCCACGCCGCCGCCGCCCGCCGGCCCCCACCCCGCCCCGCCCCGCCCGGGGCCGCGGGGCTGCGGCGGCCGGACCCCCCCGGCGCGGCGCGGGCTAACAAAGGCGCCCGGGCGGCCATGGCGCGCGGCGGCGCCCCCCGGAGCCCACCCGGCCACCGGCGCGCCCGCCCTGCCCGGGGCCCGGCTCGCACCGGCCACGGCGGCGGGAACGGCGGGAACGGCGGCGGCGGCGGCGCGGGGAGCGGCGGGCGGGCGGGCGGGAGGGAGGCGGGGGGCGGCCGGCGCGCGCCCCCCCGGCCCGGGCGCTCCTGCGACGGCCATGTTCGTACCGAGGCAACGCCGCCGCCGCCGCCGCCGCCGCCGCCGCGGCGGGCCCAGCCGGCCGGCAGCGAAGTTTGCCCGCGCCGCGGCCCCGGGCGGCCCCGAGCGGCCCCGAGCAGCGCAGCCAGCCCGGCCCCCGGCGCTCCGCTCCGCTCCGTCCCGCCCGCCCCGCCGGCCGCCGCCGCCTCCGACCCCGCCGCGACGGTGCCCGGCTCGGCCGCCCGAGGGGAGCCGCGCCGCGGCCGGGGAAAAGTTGCAACACCTGGATGGCTGCTCCGCGGCGGGCGGGCGGGCGGACCGGCGGCGGCGGCGGCGGCGGCGGGCAGAGCGCGGGACCGGGAGCCCGCGGGGCCGGCGGCGGCGGAGACGACGGCGGCGGCGGCGGGCGGGAGCGCTGGCTGCAAAGTTGTGCGGGCGGCGCGGCGCGGCGCGGCGCGGCGCGGGCCGGGGAGACGTACCTGTATTGTTCGCGAGTCCGGGCAGCGCAGGGCACGACGCGCGGCTCGGTGCTCCCCAGCCTCGCGCTAGCTGCCTCCACGAGAGCCGCCTGATTGGCCAGCGGGCTCCGCCGTTTAAAACAGCCTCCTCGCCAGGCCATTGGCTGCGGGCCTCATGCATATTAAACAGGCGCGGCCGCCCATTGGGCGCGGGCGCCGGGATCATTCATTCAAACCCAGCGACCCGCCTGCCCGCGGCGGGGCGGCCCCCGACGAGGCTCATCTTCTCGCTTTCTCACGGCCGCGCCGCCCGCCCCTGGCCGCGCGGGGCATCCCGGAGGACTCGGCCCCGCCGGCCCCGGCGCTCTCGGCCTCCGGCGTGGGAAGGCGAGGTCGCGGCCGGCGGAGCGGCCCTGGGCTCCCGCCGAGCCGCGGCCCGGGCGCCCCCGTGCTCGGCCTCTGGCCCCCAGGCAGCTCCCTCGCCGCGGGGCGTCCCCCCCGGGGTCGGCAGGCCACGGGCGAGCCGCCAGCCACTCGGTCCCCGGCCCGGCGCGCTCCTAGGCGATCTCGCGCGTGTGCTCGCTCCGGAGCATTTCGGGGTTTCGCTCCGGGACGCCCCTCCAGCGAGCGGCCCGGGCTCTTCCCGGCGCCAGCCCCGAAGTCTATTCCTGCCTCTAGCGGCGCCTGAGACGCGGAACGCGGACTCGGGCAGAAGCGGAGGAAGCGTGAGAAACTGTAGCCCGGGGGTCCCAGTAGCCCCCGCTGCCCGGCCTCTGTTCACACCCGCCGTCCCCCCCTTTACACAGCCCCTCGGTGAAGGATGAAAGTTCTTGGGATGATGATGTGGATCGCCTCGGATTCCCCCCCAACTTGGTTTCGGGGTCACCCCCGGCGGCGCTCGGGGCTTAATCCTGGCTCTGCGCTCAGGGATTGCTCCTGGAGGGTTCGCGAGACCGTGTGGGGTACAGGGGTACGGACCGGGCTCAGCCAGATTAAACACCAGTGCCCTTGCCCGGGGCTTGGACTTTGCCTGGCCGCTGAGCAGCCTAATGGGTGGGGGGCGGGGGGGGGGGGTGGCGGCAGGGGTTGGGGCTGCATAGGGATTCAGGAACGGTTTTCACGAGGAGGGGGCTTGGGGGGTGCATAGAAATGATTAGGGATTGGGGCTGGAGTGACAGCACAGCGGGTAGGGCGTTTGCCTTGCACGCTGCCCACCCGGGTCGACCTGGGTTCGATTCCCAGCATCCCATATGGTCCCCTGAGCACCGCCAGGGGTAATTCCTGAGTGCAGAGCCAGGAATGACTCCAGTGCATCGCCGGGTGTGACCCAAAAAGCCAAAAAAAAAATGAATAGGGATTTGTGGGTTGCCCAAGTCCGGGGAGTGAGTGTAGAAATTGAATATAAGAGGATGCGGCCAGTCACACGGGAGGGAGAACTGTCCCCTTTCCGAGGTTTGTTAGTATGTACGTACCCCTTTGAAGATGCAGTAACTTGAAGACACAGTAACTTGAAGCCAGTGAGAGGAAAGCTGAGGGGTTTACCTTGTATGTAGCTCACCAGGATTCACTCCCCTGCCCCAAGCAGGAATGTTCCGATTCCTGAGCACTGCTGGGTGCGCCAACCCCACCCCCATAAAAAGATCTCAGCCCTTCCATGGTTGAAGTACCACCCACAACTTTCTGGGACAGAGCGGAAAAGAAGAGCCAGAAGTTCCCTTTGTGAGGCACTTGGAACCAGCAAGCCAGGTCTTCAGAATTCCCCTTTTAGGAATAAATAAGTTTCCTGAAGCAGTTTTCCCCAAACTGGTCGCGTTAGAGGTGTGCAAAGAAGCAGACCTCTGCATAAATCACGTGCCTCCCTGTGCCCCCCCCTTGACAATGCCTCCGAGCTGCCTGAGCTAGCCAGAGGTCCCCTCCATCATGAGCGCCCCCAACTGGCAGGGTCCACATGGACCCTGTGGGCACTCAGCAGCGCAGAGACCCGGCCGCCTTGCCTGCTTCCCTCGGGGCTCCTGGATTCCCCCCTAAGTCTTGGGGAACCTGCCACTGTACACCACATCCCACACCCTGCAAAGATCTCATGGCAGCCAAGACTCCTTCCAGAATCCCGTCTCTCTTCCTCCCAGTACTCCTGTGCCCCTGGGCCAGAGCCAAGAGGGTCCTCGCAATGAGGACCAGTGCTCCCTGGCCTTTCTAGGGCCGGGCTGTAAGCAGGCCTGGGGCAGCTCCTGCCCAGAGTGTCCCAGTCACACCGGAAGCTGTCCTTTGCAGCTTTGAGGACTTAGGGGTCAACTTCAGAGTCCCGTCTCCCCCTCCCCCCCGGAGCAAATGGCATGGCCATCCGGCCCAGAACAGGCAACTGGTGAGCGGCACCCCCGGAACCTTCCCACGGGGGGCGCAGCTGGGAGCCCAGATCTGGGACATCCCAGCACAGTGACCCCAGCACAGTGACCCCAGCCCAGCCAGCCCAGGCGGCGCCCTGGGGCCCACGACACTGTGTGTCTCCGGGGGAGAAAGGGCTGTGAGGCACAGCCACTCCTCGGAAACACCCCAGCTCTGGCCTCACTGCCGGTCACCACCCTCGTCCTCAGAACTTCACAGAACTGGACTCTGACGTCGCCGAGCACGCCGAACGGTGGTTGCCATGGCTCCCTGTTCCTGACTGTCACAAATGCACGTATCACGCCAACACTCCTGTCACAAACACAGACCACACCAGCACTGCATGTTTTCCTCAGGCTCTCAGATGCCTCCTGTCCTTCCCCGCGAGCCCCGGTAGGGAGGCTCCGCACAGCCTCTTCGGCTCCTCAGCACCCCCTATCTGGGACACAGGCCACAGCCTAGCACACTCCTCCCTTGGTGGTGGAAACTGCTGCTTGGATTCCTGTCTTGTCTGCCTGCCGAGAAAGCACAGGCGGGAACGTAGGTGGAGAGACGGCCGGGCAGGAAGGCACAAGGCAATGGCCTGGGGCTCCGTTCCCGACTTCCAGACTGGACCCACCTCTCATCCACCCAGCTCTGAGGCGATTCCACCCACTTCCCCAGAACCCTGCAGTTCCCATCTGCCCGTTTCCTGACTGTGAAGGGGGGAGGGTGTCTGCTGGTCAGAGGTCACCCAGAGGTGAGCCACAGGCCAGTCTGGAATGTACATCAGGCCTGGGAAAGAGAGCTGAGTCCATGCTCTGCTTACAGGAGATCTGGGTTCAATCCCCGGCACCGCCTGGTGGGTGCCCAACCCCACCAGGAACGATCTCTGAGCACAGAGGCAGCTGGACGGAGGCCCCAGTACTGCCAAGGGTGGCCCCCAAACCAGAGAGAGGAGGGGGGAAGAGCGTCAGGGATGTCTGGACAAGGCCTGGCCTCAGGCCCCGAGGCAGTTTGCTTCCTTGGTTTTCAGCAAATTATCAGTGCCCAAGGCTTGGGGACAGTTCCAACCAGTCAAAGTGAAGGGAGCTCTGGATCTTCCTGGAAGCATCTGGAGTACTTCAGTTACCTGAGGCCCAGCACGGGGCCAATATGGAGAAAGCTTTTGAACCCCAAAGGTTCTGGGGTCTCCTCATCTTTTTTCTTTTTTTTTTTGCTTTTTGGGTCACACCTGGCGATGCTCAAGGGTTACTCCTGGCGGTGCTCAGGGGACCATATGGGATGCTGGGAATCGAACCCGGGTCGGCCCCATGCAAGGCAAACGCCCTACCCGCCCTACCCGCTGTGCTATCTCTCCAGCCCCTCCTCATCTTTCAACAAAGATGACCTCCCCCTAGGTCACGTCATTGTCCTCAGAACTTCATCCCCTCTCCCCATCCCAGAGGCGCATTGAAGCAGCCGCCTCCAGAAACAAGGGAAATGCAGCCATGGGGGCTCAGGCTATAGAAACATTGAATGGGTTATTTAGCATGAAAATGGGATGCTAGAGACTCCAGGTAAATTCTGGGACGTTTGAAAGGCCAGCTACAGGCCCACTGGCCAGTCCCACCCCTGGGCCCACTACCTCTGCTTCCAGGCCTGGAGGTGACCCTCTACCTGCCTTGCCTGGGCGTTTAGGCCACCCTCGCCTTCCTAGCTGACTCGTTGAGCAGTGAAGTGTGGAGAACCTTGGTGAACGGAAGCGTTTTGAAAGCTGGGTTAACCTCTAGCCTCGCCTCCACGGGGCAATGAAGGCGCCATCGGAGGCCCTGAATAAGCCGGGTCTGAAGCCTGACCCTTTGTGTCCCCTCAGGTCTACCTTGGGTAGCTTCATGGTGGCCAGAGGGTCCGCTGTGGGCCCCCCGGGGCACTGTCCCCACCAGAGTATCTTCACAGATCTTTCTGATGGTGCCTGGACCTCCAAGAGCCTCAAGGCCATGTGACTTGGGTTCCTATGGCCCTGGGCATCCCCAGAGGCCAGTTGCTCAGCCTTGATCCTTTCACGTGCTCGAAGCTGGGGTGCTGGCCCCTAGGTGACTCCAAGTCCCTGCCTGCCTTACCCATCACTGGCTCAGTGGAGAGGGGAGGTACCCTTGCCTTGCTGGGGGAGCAGGCAGCACTGGGAGGCTCACACCTGCGTTCAGAATAACCCTGCCCTATCATCCCTCCCATGGCCCCGTCCCACTTAAGAGTGTACTAGAAGGTTCCAATCAGTTCTTCACTGGCTGTCTCCGATCCTTCAGACCTTCAGAACCCACGCCTCTAAATGCCTTTTCTTTCCTTTGTTGGATGGAATCACCATGACATACACAATTTCAAAGTTGTTCATGGGTTTGATAGTGTTTCAACACGCTTTCTTTGTTCACCAGTGAACCGTTCCTTTACCACCAAGGTTCCAGGTTTTCTCCCCACCATCCCTAGGCCGCCTGTATGGCAGACAATGATTTTTTTCCTCTCTCTCCAGATGCCTTTTCTTCCTTCAGACCGAAGCAAGTCCTGCAGAAGATCGCCCCTCCAAACGGCACTGCAATTGCAAACTACTCCACACTTCGTCCTTCTGATCTTCAGTTTCCTATAATGGAAAGGGGGAGTGGTGAGGGGGAGAGAGAAAGAGAGAGAGAGAGAGAGAGAGAGAGAGAGAGAGAGAGAGAGAGAGAGGACATACAGCAGTAAGGGCACTTGTCTTGCACAGGCAGACCCAGGTTTGATCC